CGGCAACAATGACCCGGTTCTATAGTGAATGTCCTAGAAGCTTTACAGTATAGTAGGTGGCAATTTCAAAATGGGTGCGAATCATTGTTCTACAGAAATGCAATATATATATACTTATTTCAGACGAAATACCTTAAAAGTTTGAACGCATAATAATATTGGAAAATTACATCCATTGGGCCAATTGCAACGCAGGAGCGTTCGATATACTCAATGGTGCAACAGGTCGATTTAATCTGACCTTCACGGCCCCTTTTCTCACTTGGCTATTTTTAGTAATAGCTCGACTTCAGCACCACTTGGCAGCACGTTTTTGCAATAGTATTGCATACATATTTAAAACATTAGCCAAATCGGATCATAAATAAGATTTTTAGTAATAACTCAACTACAGCGCCAACTGTCGGATTAAATTGTGAAACTAAACCATCCAGAGACCCACTCAAATACACAAAAAGTTTCGTTAAAATCCGTACAACCATTTAGGAGGAGATCACTCACAAACATACCTACAGAAGAATAAACAAATTCATTCAAAGATAGCTAAAGGTCGGTACGTTTGTAGGCCTCACACCCCTTTTCAAATAGCCCAAATTTTCTCCATGAGTATGGGCTTGATTTCAACTATATACATATCTCCATACGAAGTTCCAGTACTGTACCATGAAAACTTTTAGAGATATGCAGTATAAAAATTCGATTTATATGGGAGGTGCCACGCCCACCTTTCCAACAGCTGCCCTCTTTCTTCATGAGTATGCGATTGATTTCGTATATCTCCATACCAAGTTCCAGAACTCTACCATGAACACTTCCAAAGATAGGCAGTATGAAAAATTCGGTTTGTATGGAAGATGCCACGCCCCCTTTTCCAATAGTTCCAATTTTTCTCCAAGAGTATGCGATTTATTTCTTACATCTCCATACAAAACTCTAGAAGTATACCAAAAAATTTCCAGAGATAAGCAGTATGAAAAATTCGGTTTGTATGGGAGATGTCACACCCCTTTTTACAATAGCTAAAATTTTTCTCCAAGGGTATGCGATTGATTTCGTATATCTCCATACCAATTTCCAAAACTCTACCATGCACACTTTCAGAGATATGTAGCATGAGAAATTCGGTTTGTATGGGAAGTGCCACGCCCCCTTTACATATAGATTTTTT